AGAGAGTGTAAGAAAATAAAATAATATTTTCTTGATTTTTTCTATTTGAATTGGGTTGAAGAGAATAAAATAGTAATTTTAAATATATACTTTTTATTATAAATAATTAATATTTTTCTATAAAAAATTAACACATAATTTATTCTTGGTAAAAAATTGAGGCCTCCTAAAATTGGGGGCCTAAGGCCAATGTCTTATTTTTGTATACATAGAGCCGGGCCTGCATAGTGTAACGATCATCCAAACAAGCTCTTAGGGGTTGTTCAGTAGTTGATTTGATAGTGAATTATGCAGGTATTAATTATGCATAAATAATAGTATCATATATTCGATAGCCGATTAAGAAGGTATTTATAAAGATATAAAAGTAATTAGGTGTTTGATTTGCGATTTACAAACCTAACATAATTAATACTCATATAAATTATGAGAGAAAATATGTATTCAATACCAAAAATAGAAAATGAAATACTCTAACTTAACTTTACCTAACTAATCATATACATAAAAAATATAAATATTTTTTTTTACAACTAATCCTTGGCTGCATAACTCAAGTCTCTAATCATCTCATCTGTTTCTGTATTAAGGATCCACCAAGTATCATGGGCCAGCATTATCCACATTCTTCTATGGGCCGTTTAGGGCTTCAACTTGAACTAAGAAAAGCCCACTAAGATTCCAAACCTAACATATAAAATGTCGCAATCTAGGGTTCAAGGACAGAAAACTTTGCTGCTGAAATCGCTGGAGGCAACTGTGTGATTTCTCTCACAACTTCCCCAATCTTCTTCCAGCAGCCATGGTATTTTCTCTTCCTCTATCTGCATCTATGGAGGCGTTTTCTATAGAAGTTTCTAATTCGAATTTGTCAATTTTTTTTCAGATTATCTCAGAGAAGAACCGTAGAGAGATCTCCAAATACCTCTTCCAAGGTCAGTATCTTTATCTCTTTATCTTTTTCTGTACGTCATTTCGTAAGTTTCATTTTCTGATGTGATTTTTTGGTGTTGTTGTAGAGGGAGTGTGCTACGCGAAGAAGGATTACAACTTGGCCAAGCATCCGTTAATCGATGTGCCAAATCTACAGGTTATCAAACTGATGCAGAGCTTCAAATCTAAGGAGTATGTTCGCGAGACATTCGCTTGGATGCACTACTACTGGTATCTTACAAATGATGGCATTGAGTTCCTCAGGACTTACCTTAACCTTCCATCTGAAATTGTCCCCGCTACACTGAAGAAATCGGCTAAACCCCTTGGTCGTCCCATGGGTGGCCCTCCAGGCGATCGTCCTCGGTAATTACCCTTTCAGTTTGATTGATTAGTTTGAAATTGAGTTTTTTGCGAGTTCTAATTGATTTTCGTTGTGTATTTGTTCAAAGAATACTTATGGATGTGTTACTGGTTTTGCAGTGGACCACCAAGGTTTGAGGGTGATAGGCCAAGGTATGGCGACAGAGATGGTTACCGTGCTGGACCTAGAGGTCCACCTGGTGAGTTTGGAGGTGAGAAGGGTGGAGCTCCAGCTGACTACCAGCCTGCTTTCAGGGTAATTGCTCTTTTCTTTTAAATCCTGAAGCGTTTTTTTTTACTTTAGTTAGCCTAACAATTGTATTTATGAGCATTGTTTTCTTGTTGTTTGAAGTAAATAGACTATGTTTCTGTTGATTGAATAAGAATTATCTATTTATTCTGTATTTGTTGAAAGGAAATGTGTTGATGCCACTGATAAGTGTCTGAAATAGCTCAAACAAGCTTCCGAATTCTAACAAAATTTCCTGAAGTTTCCCTTTTGAGATTCAAATGAATTTTTCACTGTTCCCTTGGTATAAAATGGAGTCACCATATTCATCAGCTGCAGCATCTAGATGTTATAATTTTGTTGGTCTTGTTCCCGGTTAGTGCATATTTTAGTTGCCAATTGAAACCTAAAACTTGGAGTAACCTAATTTATCCAAAGATCAACTTGAATTCGTTGGTCATGCTATTGCTCGACTTCATTCTACCTGTCAGTATGTTATTTGCTTCAGATTAGTTGTTGCCTATAGCTAAGTTGCTCGGACTCCGTAAATGTTACTGCACCATTGTCGGATCCTCTAATAAAATTCACTACTTTGGAAGAGTCCAAGCAATATTAGGTCTATAAGTCAGGGAAATACAAAAAAGCAGAGAAGTGAGTTGCTGATTGTTGATTTAGGATCTCCTATGTACTGCCTTATTTGGGTTTTGTAGTCCCGTGGGAGAACCTAGCTGTCACAAGTCAGCTTCACCTGTTAAGAAAAGTATCTTCGGTCTGAATGTCAGTAATCTGCTACATTTTTCTTCCAAGTAGGGTGTTGTCTTTTAGAATTATTATTGTCTTGATACCTGAATTTTGTTTTTCTTCACTTCATTGGTGCGTGAATCATCATCAAGTTGTGTTGGCGATACTTTGGTGCATGAGAAAGTATCTTGGATCTCAAATATCTTTTGTGTTATTTCACCCAATTCTAAACTATCATGTTAACACTTTATAGGGTTCTGGTGGAAGACCTGGATTCGGCCGTGGATCTGGAGGTTTTGGTGGCGGTGCACCTACTAGTTCAAGCTTCTCTTAGATTCCTGCCATCTTAGACTTAGTGGTTGTTTCAATTTTGAAATCAGATGTTGAAATCACTTGGATTTTCATTTTCTTGTTAAAACTTAATATTCCAAGCAGGGTAATTTTATCTTTGTTGATCTTTAGAGAACTATAAGTTTTGTTCTGTTCCTTGTTCGTTTGTGTCTTTTGAGATATACTTTCAAGTTATTCCAATGTGACATTATCAGGCACTTTATATATTGTTGATGGTTTTAAACTTACTCCCTGTTAAATTATGAATGATATGAAATTGTACCATTACTGAGTTATTTTGGAGATGCCATTCTTGCGATAGGGCTAGGGATTTTTTTCGTTGGCTGTTCCTTTTCTCTAGTGACGTGGCAATATGAAATTGTTGAAGGATCAAATTGATAGAATTTGTGTTTTGTAAATATAGTTTCAATGTTTTTCGATATTAGTTTGTTCATTAGTATTTCGTAATATCAGAGTTTACGGTAGAAAAATGTTTTGGTATTTGGTAATTTCCGAGTGCCAATAGCTACGTCTGTGTGTCACTGAGTTGCATGTTCAATTGCTGTACTCAATAAGAGGCTTACCTCAATAGGTCTTCAATAAAACCTGGTAATATAATTTTTCAGTTCTCCTTTAAAAACATTTTAGCTCTTCCACAACACTAATTCAAGTTTCTACAGATCACACAAAAATACAGTCCTTGGTAATAGTATTATTATGTAAACTATTAAACAAATTGGTTTTCTATTTAACTCGAGTAATAGTAGTGCTATGCGTTAGAACCAGTTGTGCGATTCAAACAAACGGAAGAAAAGAATGCAGGTGAAACTAAAACTAGTAAAGAGTCAAATTAAATGGCCAAGTTTATTCTACAATCTTAAAGGATAAACAAAAAACAAAAAATGAAAAAAGAAAAAAAGAAAGCTACTCATGAATGCAAAAATACAAATATAGTGTGTTCGCTCTATAATTCATCATAAGCCTCCTCTTCCTCATCTCCTGAATTTGCAGAACTTGCACCACTCTTCTCATAGACCTTCTTTATGACAGGATTGCATACATCTTCCAAGTCTTTCATCTTCTCATCATAGTCTTCTTTCTCCGCGTTTTGATTATCATCCAACCACTCTGTAGCTTCCTTAAGAGCGTTCTCTATCTTCTTTTTGTCATCAGAATCAATCTTCTCTGCGAGCTTGTCGTTGATTGTGTTCTTCATGTTGTAAATGTATGTTTCAAGCTTGTTCTGAGCATCCACCTTCTCCTTTACCTTTCTGTCTTCCTCTGCAAACTCCTCCGCCTCCTTCAACATTCTATCGATTTCTTCCTGGCTTAGACGCGACTTGTCACTAGTGATGGTAATAGATTTCGATTTCTTAGCTGCTTTGTCTTGTGCTGTTACATGTAGAATTCCATTCTCATCAACCTGAAAAGTCACCTCAATTTGTGGCACTCCCCTACAAAAGATTTTAACATTTATGTACTTGGATCAGAAGTTCCAAAGCTCATGAAAATGATATTAAAGGTTTTTTTCCTTCCTTTTAGCTACTTCTCATTCATCAAAACTTACCTTGGAGCAGGCGGTATACCAGACAAGTCAAAGCTTCCAAGTTCACGACAATCCTTCGTTAAGCTCCTTTCACCTTCATATACCTAAAGGATATCCATAAGATTGTGTTAATTCTTATTTCCAACATGTAAGAACAATGACCAACTATAGTCCAGACTTCAATCTGATGTCAAACAATTGCTGAACTAGCAATGTTACCTTAATTGTTACAGATGTTTGTTGGTCTTGATAGGTGGTGAAAACTTGGGTTTTCTTGACAGGTATCCTACTGTTTCTTGGAATCAACTTTGTCATAACCCCACCAACTGTCTCAATTCCCAGACTTAGAGGAGTCACATCAAGCAACAAAAGATCTGAGGAACAAAAAAGGAATGTCAAAACCTAGTTATGCAAACTAAAAAAGAAACACAACAAAAAATGCTTCTGTTATATCAGAGGAAAAAACATAAATTAGTTACCTTTGGTCTCTTCCCCTCCTTCTCCACCAAGGATTGCTCCTTGTATTGCTGCTCCGTAAGCTACAGCTTCGTCAGGATTAACACCCTTGTTAGGTTCTTTCCCATCAAAGAAATCCTTCAAGAGCTGTTGCACCTTTGGAATTCGAGTACTCCCACCAACGAGCACGAGTTCATCAATATCCGTCTTCTTCAAGTTTGCATCCTCTAATGCCTTCTTGACTGGACCCATTGTCTTCTTGAACAAATCCATGTTCAACTCCTCGAATCTCGCCCTTGTTAATGGCTCGGAGAAGTCAATACCATCGAAAAGAGACTCGATCTCGATACGTACTTGGTGCTGGTTACTTAAGGCCCTCTTCGCTCTCTCACATTCTCTTCTAAGCTTTCCAAGAGCTTTCTTGTCATTACTAATATCCTTGCTATATTTCCTCTTGATCAACTTGATGAAATAGTCCATTAGTTTGTGATCGAAGTCCTCTCCTCCTAAGTGAGTGTTACCATTTGTTGCTAGGACCTCAAAAACACCATTATCAATGCTAAGTATGCTAACATCAAATGTGCCACCACCAAGATCATACACCAAAATGTTCTGTTCTTTCCCTTTCTTATCCAATCCATAGGCTATAGCAGCCGCAGTCGGCTCGTTTATTATCCTAACTACATTCAGCCCTGCTATGGTACCAGCATCCTTGGTTGCTTGCCTTTGTGCATCATTAAAATAAGCTACATATGAACCAAATAACTCAATCAACAACAAAAAAAAGAGAACAACTTTTTCATGATCAAAGTTATAGCAATTATGTGAAAATACATGTTATCGATATCTTTTTAATGTCGTTTAAGTTTACCTGGAACGGTGATGACAGCGTGCTTAATTGATTTCCCTAGATATGCCTCAGCTGTTTCCTTCATTTTCTGCAAAATCATAGCACTAATTTCCTCTGGGCTAAACACTTTAACGTCGCCCTCTTTAATCTTCACTTCTACATAAGGCTTGCCATCTTTGTTCACAATATTAAAAGGTAACATTTTTATAATTTTTTGAACTTCTGGATCATCAAACCTACCAAAACAACACCGACAAAATCAAATCAGAACACCAAAAATCACACAAGCTCCACAATACAACTTTCACAACAAAACAATTTTTTTTTTAGCTGATCATAAACTTACTTCCTTCCAATAAGCCTTTTAACATCATATATAGTACGTTCGGGGTTAAGAGCTGCTTGATTCTTTGCAGCTTCTCCAATTAATCTCTCTGTATCAGTGAATGCAACCCATGAAGGGGTGATTCTGTTTCCTTGGTCGTTCGCTATGATCTCGACATTGTTCTCACCTTTGTATACACCCACACAAGAATATGTTGTCCCTAGATCAATTCCAATCACTGTTCCAAGATTCTGTTTCTGTTTTTTCTCAGCAGCTACTGTTACTCCTAAGCAAAACTCTTTCCGAACATTACAAAAAAACAGTCAGCAGGTCATATGTAGTAAAATTCAACTTATCTTGAAGAACAAGAACAGCAATTAGAAATATCAAGAATCTAAATACAAACAAATATATCAGGAAAAGACTATAACTTTACAGAAAAGAACACTGATTTATATGGAAAGTTTCTATTTTTACTATAGCTCCACAAGGTGAAAACAGAGAAGATATATTGAAAAAAGCATTAGTATGCAAACAAATTATCTGATTCTAATTCAACCCCAAAAGCTAGTTCATCACATAAGAAGCTCTAACACCCTCATGGAACGGGCCCGAACGAGACAAACCCTACTATGATACCTAGCTCAACCCAAAAGTTAACTCATGAGAGCAGAATTGTCCAAGTTCATATAAACAGACACTCTTCCCAGCCAAAGTGGGGACTTTAACCCACCCTAATAATTTCAACAGTATATAAAAACAAACTTGTGCATGTACAGCAACACACAAACAACAACAAAACTAGAATTAAGAAGTAGAAGGATGCAAAAAACAAGAAAACTTGTAAAGGTAATAGGAGTAATTAGATAATCACCTGAAGCAAAAAGAAGCAAAATCAAGAATGCTAAGTTCTTGAAATCCTTTGAACGTCTCATTCTCATTAATTCTCCCTTGATTGATGAATACTTGATTATTGAGGCTATTTAAAGTTGAGAGTTGTGAGTGAATTTTTAGTTTGATGACATAAAACTAGAGTGTTCTCTCCAATAGAAGAAGTTGATAGGCTGTTTCTTGCTTCAATAATATTTTACACATCAATCAGCCAATTACCATCAAACACGTGGGTACCCGTTCGGTTAATGAAAGTCCCCGAATGTTCTTGATTTATTGAGCACCAACGATAATATATAAAAATATATAAAGCGCTTTCTGTTAGCAACATTCTATTTATAATAAATAATAAGAAATTAAATTAAACTAGAATTAGAAAATCTATTTTATATGAATTAGGATAACAAATTCTAATTGAACATCAATTAAATAAATACAAAAAATAACAAATTCTTATCAACTTACGCTTTCTACTCCAACTTTAATTCCGGTCCTCAATCGATTAAAGGGTAGAACTTCGTATCAATTCCTATTTAGGATAACTTTTTCTTTTTTGTAATAATATAATTAATTTGGTGAAATTAAGTTTTTATACTTCATTCTCAAAAATATTGTTAAATATGTTTTTTGTTCAAAAAATTGTTAGTGTATATTGCTGGCTGCTTGGCGCACTCTTTTTCGCTGATAATAATGATTAAACATTTGTCACTATAAAAAAAAAAGGTTTGATGAGAGTTTTAAAACAAAAGGTGGAAAAGAGAGATATATTAAAGTAAAAAATAAGGATATATGATGTTTTTAGATCAAAAGATTAAAAAAAGAGAGGGACATTTGTGAACCATTTTCACTGGGTATTTTTTATTTTCTTTAATTTTAAAAATATTGCCAAACACAAGCTACCAACCCAAGTTCTTCATTATTTGGTTAATTTTTTTTTGTTATTATCCCCAAATACTTTTAATACTTCCCAAAATAAGCTCATTTTGCATATTGATCAAACGTGATAATTATTTTGCTACTTTTGACAAAAAGATGATCTAAGTAGGCGTTTGGTCATGCTTTATTATGAATTTTGGAAAAAAGAAGTTTTTATTTATGAAGTGAAATGATATTTGAAAATTGGAAGTTGTGTTCAACAACAAATACAAATTAGAGTTGTTTTTAAATTTTTGTGAGTAGTTTAAATGGAAAAAAGTAAAAAAAACCTTTTTATTATTTTTCAAATTCTTGGAAATTTTATAATTCAACTTCAAGCGTGATTCAAAAAAATAATTTGGCCAAACATATTTTTTGGGAATTCAACCCTAAAAAATATGTAAAAATTAAGGCCAAACGCCTCCTAAATATAGCTAAAGATGGTGATCTTTTTCTGTTATCCAGTTGAAGCTGCTGAGCTATTTTTATTGATGTTGAAAAAGGAGTCAATATTCTTCTTGTAAATACAAATTCTGCATTGACAACTAGGTCTATGAGTGCATGTCAGAAATCAGAAATCCTTATTAAGGTAAAGTGGTTAAATGATGATGTCTACTTTCTGCTAGAGACAGTTTCCTTCTTGTTTTCAATTGGCCTCCAGGAATCTCAATCCTTCCATTTCAGAAGGGGAATCTCAAATCTTGATTTTGTACCTTCTGATTTGGTTACACTTTGTTGATAATATTTGAAAATTTGATTTTTCAAAATACAATCAAATTTCATAGTCAAACAAATAAATATGATCTAAAATCTGTCGCCAAACGCTAGCTTAAACTTGTACATGAAGGATTGATTTTGCCACCTTTTAAGGTTTGGTTACCACATTTGATGACCTTATTGTACACTGTTATTCATTATGACTACAAGTTATTGAGGCAAATAACTTTTGAATTCTTGATACAAAATCTTACACAATAGTTGAAAATTGTTAAAAGAAGAAACATACAAAAACTATTAACACACAATCCTATCTGAATGGGGCTAGAGGGTTAAGACTATTAGGTGTTTTTGAGCTTCTAAGCTCTTTGCATACATGATCTAACATGTTCAAGAAATCTCTCACAATGACAAAAATCCTGAGAGGGTTGGATTCATCTTTGCTTACATTTCCGTGGAAGTATTCTGTGACTTCTTTAACACGTAAAAGAACTCGATTCTCGTCTTCCTGTAATTCCTTTAGGTTCCTTTCTGCATAATTCAAGAATGTTGTCATTGAGTGCACAAAGTTACCATTATTTTCAAATGGAGACAAGTCATTTGTTACTAATGCTTTTATCTTGTTCATTTCTTCTGATAGATCTGAGACTGAGGTTGCGATGACATCCAAGTCCATTGTGGCTGTTTTCTTGACATTGAATAGCTCAGTGCCTAGACCAGAAACAAGATCAAGACCCATCCTTTTGTAATCTTCCTCTCTGTCTGCAATAGTTTTAATCTTGCGTCTCCCGTCTATTTTTCCCATGATGCTTTGTGAGACCTTCAAGCCTTCTGATCGAATGATTTCTTGAACGACGAAATGAAGCAGTGTGGTTTTTCCATCAGTGCCTTTTACGTCGGATAGCTTAAGTAAGGCATCAAGTTTGAATGCTCTGGCTCCTCCTCTTATTGTCCCAATGTTCATCCTGTTTCCAGTTTTCAACACTGCTTCTAGCAATTTTAAGAACAGTCGACTTGATCTGAGTTCCTTGCAGGCCTCCTGAGAGAGTAAAATGTAAACTTTAGTCATTATTATCAGATGAAAAGTGAGAAAAACTACTTTTTTTTTTTGGTTAGTTACCTCTAGCATTGAGAAAGATTTTTTGAGAAGATTAACTTCATCATCAAATGTCTCGCGATAAAGCATGGCTTCTATTCTCAAGAATGCAAATGGCACCTTAAGCATTGCCATTACAAACTTCTCTGCTGACCCTAGTTCATTGATGTCTCCTTTATAACTTGACAGTTTGTCCTCTTCTTCTTTAGTAGGTACCATCTTAGCCAGAGCCTCCAGTTGTGGCAAAAACAATCCGTTTCCTATTAGGAAGACGTTGTAAGAGACGATGACACTTAATCTTATTAATTCCATGAGGAAATAGAATAATGTGCAGATAAGTTGACACAATTCTGCAAAGGGAGATGAAAGTTAGAATTGCTTACCTTTTATTAGTGCTTCAGAAACTTGTTCTACAGTCACACCCAAAGCTTTGGACAGTATGCTTATGTTTTGTAGTCTTTTAGGCTCAAGAACATGCTTGCTTGGAGATGGAGTTTTGCTTTTCCCTTCATCAATCTTCATAGAATTGTGTAGATTGTAGCCGAAAAGTGACTCAATCATTTCCTCATCAAATCTGCTCCACGAACATAAATTTGTAAATGGACTGAACTGATAACGAAAATAAGGAATAATAATATCTAACCTTAAAGGAGAAAAATGAAACACTCTTACTCGAACGAGCTTGGTCTGAGCTTGTCCCAAACAGTTGATCGGTCTGGTGCAGCTCTTACTTTGTCCCAGTGAAGTGGTTTCAATTTTGGGAGTGGACTTCCATCTTTGCCTAATGCCAATTGTTGGAAAGGCAAAGACAGTGGAGGGGGCGGGCCTTTTGAAAGACTAGTACTTCCACTTGCAAATGGTGGAGGACAAGGTGGGGGTGGAATTCCTCCAGCAGGCTTAGCCTGATTTGGAGGTGATTGTAACAAATCATTTTCCAAAGAACTATCTGAATTTCTAGTGGATGATTCAATTTGCAATGAAGCATGACTCAAAACTTTCGACTTCATTTTCACTGAAGAAACTGTAGGCCTACAAGGAGATTGAGTTGGAAATGTAGGCGAAGGAGGCGGTGGAGGTGGAGGCGGTGGGGGTGGAGTAGACAAGTGTGTTGAGGAGGATACAGAACAAGTTAAGGTTTTTAATTCTTCTTGAGGCATAATTTCTGAGGTATCTATAAGACTACCAGCTGAAACATTGGATAATCTATTACTAGACGAACGCGAATTACATAAAGAATGGAATATTTCTTCATCATCTGATGAATGAACTTCCTCAGGAACTATTTTGTCACCACTGGAAGAGTTACAATCATTGATATCACACTTCATTGAATCTGCACTTTCATAAACACAGACAATTTCTCCAACACCTGAACAATTATCATCATCAGGCATTGACACACTGATTTCCTCTTCTTGTTCATCTTTCTCACTCAATGTATTGTTTGCTATGTTTTCATTTGAGTCAATTTTTTCAATTACAGAACTTTTATTTAGACAAATCGATTCCGATGATTCGAGAGCAACTTCTAGTGAATCAAGGTAAAAAAGGTCAGGGCCTGGATCAGAAGTTACCTTTTTCACTGAATTCTGAGAGCTACCATACCTTGATCTACATACACTTCCTGCTTCACTGCTGAACAGTGACACTGATCTAGTTGATTTCTTTCTTTGTTTCTTGAACTTTTTGCAGCCCCAAAAAAGGGCAATTGCACACAATACAGTTGAAATCCCAGCAGAAACAAGAACAGCTGTTAAAACTCTAGTACTCCTCCCTCTTCTTTTCACCCTTACCCTGTGTGCAGCTGGGATAAAGGGATGGTGATGAGAATGTGGATGAGGATGCCGATGAACTCGTGGCACCGGTGAAGGAGCTGGTGCTTCAGGGGAAATTGATGGTGATGGAGAAGGTGAAGGTGATACTGCAAAATATGCAAAATCACCATTTCTTGGACTAAACCTACTCAGTCCAAGTAAAGTTCTGAACTTTTCCACAATCAAGATTTGCTTCCCTCCATAGATCTTTCCAATTGGACTTTCGTTTCCATCCCCATTTCTAACCATATAATTTAGCTCTTTAAAGCCATGAATACTATTCAAGTACTTTGCAGCATTCAATGAGACATCCCTAACCAAAATATGTGTACAACAGAAAGATACAAGAATGAAGGTGATGATAAAGAGAAAATGTAAAAGAATCCTAAAACCATGATGACCCATTTTCTTGAAACAAAAATCATGAAAGAAATCATCAACCTTTATGTAAATATAAATTCAACCCAACAATCTTTTTATTTTTCTTCTCTGTTATTAAAAATGTAATGCACCAAAGAGAAAAAAGAAGAAATCTTTATTGCTACTCCAAGGAACCCCTGAGTTGTGGCAGTTGTAGGTGTACTGGACCTTCTTTATTTTCTCTCTGTTACCTCTTTTCTCTCTCCATTAATTCTCCCTGCTGAAATACTGTTAATAGTAGTACATCATTTTCATTAGTACACTTATGTTCTTGCTTACTTTTTTGAGTTTTTGTCTTTATGTCTTTATCTTCTCTAGTCACTAATAACTAAACAACCAAGAATCAAGAATCAAGAAAAGACTATGTTTTTTTTTTCTTGATTTGCATAATTTCAATCTAGTAAAACAGATTCATGGGTATTTTGCATCTGAAAAACAAAGGTTTTTGGAGCTAAAAAGTTGTAATTTTTCAATCTAAAAATGTGGTAGGGTAGAAATTGGTTGGACTTGCCTTAAATCATAGGAAGGTGACAATTTATTATGTGTAAGAAAACGAAACAGAAATCGTCCATCACTTTCTCATGTGATCCTCTCACATAGATACATTTTTATGAAAATAAATTAGATATTTATGTTGTGATAAAAAGATTCAAGGAAAAAGTTAGATTCTTATGCTGCATTATTTTATAGAGATTATAAGCTGCTGATCTCTATTACTATTTAAATCACAGCCGTCATACTTGACACAATTATCTCCAACATTATCACAATGTTGGGACTTACTTCTTTTGCAGTCAATTCATTAACACTCTTTTTTCTGTCATGTAAAAGTTTTCTATCATTTCTTAATCTACAAAAAGTTCATTTATCCAATTATTTTTTATCTGCAATATATGACACATTCTTTTTCTAGTTTGTTCCAAATTAGAAAATGATTAACTAAGCATTTCACATTTTATTCTTAATGAAAAGATTTTATAATGCCACGAATGTTATGACAAACATGTTTAGGGTCATAGGTTTCGAAAATTTATACACGCAAATAATGTACAAGTTTTAAATATATCATTTATATTTTTTTTAGTCTTAATTCAAACTATGTCACATAAATTGTAATGGAGAGTAATACTCTATGCGTCCAACAATAGTTGTCCACTATACTAATTTGGGATGTCCAATAATATTTTCCCAATATATGAAATCAATGGATAATTTTACATTTAGTTCCTAGTTCCTAATTTATTCTTATCATTAATTATAGTTATTTCTTTATTACATTTTCAAGATATTATATTTATTAGTATATTCAAAGGGTGGTATAATAAAAATATCCTGCTATTTATAGTTTTTTAAGAAATGCGCAAAATCAATAGTGGACAAGTATTGTTGAACAGAGAAAGAGTATTAAGTAAGGAGAGATGTATTGCGTACTACCTCCAAGATGTGACCTAATGATCAGTGAATTTAGTTGAGAATCATGAGCTCCTAGGTTCAAACCCTAGCATAGACAAAAAAAATACTAGCTGATTTCTTTTCATCTGTCTTAATCTTTGTGGACAGAGTAACCAGGTGAGAGATTGCACGGTATCATGTGAAATTAAACAAATTACACGAAAGTTGACTCAGACATCATGATCATAAAAAAAATAAAAATGTGTTCTATTGGTATGGAAAAATAATATCCAATGTGCTAGGCCATATGTCCTTTTCAAGGTACACTTTTTTTGTTAATTGATTAGTTAATTACAAAGAGTAGTACTATATGTAGGTTTGACAATGTAACATTTTTTTGAACAATAAATGCTAAAAACTTTTTTTTTTGTTTCTTATGTTGTGCCAAACCACATGGAGTGGAATAGAGAAAACCAAATGGCCGCTTGTAACCGACAACAGTGACATGGGCGCGCATATTTGGTTATTGGCTTTACGTTGCCGCTAAAATGAAATGTTGTCATGTATCTTACGCTGCCTATTTCATTACACTAGTTAACCTTAGTCATGCCAAACTCAATTGCAAAAAGTTCTTTTTTTACTAAAAATAGAGGGAAATAAGGAATTAATTTAGCTAGCTAGATCTGTTTTTATTCTTGTGTGTTTATGTAACTAGTCCCTATCATGGTTGGTTCAACCAATTTTTACCATGATTATTCTATCTTATGATATGTATATGCCTTTATTCCTTTAAAGTTCTCAATTTTCCTTATTGTAGCTTTAGGTCATGTTTGTATTTTCTTCCCCACCCTTGGAGTAAGAAAAAAGGGAGATGTTATTGATCTCTATCACTTTTTTTTTTTGGTTATTGATTTCTATATTCTATGACAAAAATCTACAAATTCGATTAATGCTAGGAAAATATTTCTGCTGAGGCTCGAATTCAACACTTCTGAAAGAGTTTAATTCACCCACCCTCTATCACATTTTGATTTAACTTTGTCCAATTCAAGGTCATATTTTTCGGTTTTACCTTTGTTTTTTTTTTTGATAACTTAGGTTTTACTTTGACCATTAATGAAATTATAAAGTTCCAAAGCTACATTGATTGGTCCCACCAGCAGTAGAAAGTCTTTTGTTAGTTAGTTAAGTTTGACTTTTGTTTTTATTAGAGTTAGGATCAGTATCAACACTATCTTTTGAGTCAATCATATAGATATGATTAATAATAAGTAGGTAAATATAGAAGAAATATGTTAGTCAATTGTCCTCTCAATTTAAGATAACCCTATGTTTTTAGTAATATTTTGTTTTGTTTTCCATCTCGTCAACTTTATAATATCTACTTCATACAAACAAGTACAGAGAACCATATATATTATGACACTTCTTGAAAAATATCTAAAGTTCATATGGGTGTAAAATAGGGGTCAACTTTTGAAAAAAATTAGTACAATGCAAATTAATGAGTACTATGTATTCTTCAACCTTAATAGTAGCAGTCTGACATTGACACAATAGTCGGCAATAGTTGGTAAATCCAAGTCTTCATAAATTGGGCTGGGCAGCACCAGCAACTTTTCCATTTTCCAATGGGCTGAATTTGGGGTAAGTCCATAAAACATTTGTCCCTCAGGTTGCTGCTGAAGTTGAGGACTTGTTATATAGTGTATCGATTTGCTCTATATTAATACGAACAGATACTTCGAATCGATACAACTCCGAGTGAACAGATACATCAAATTGATACAACTTCAAGTGAATTGTAATTTATCTAAACCTCAATTTTTGAGTAAATACAGAATATATATTTGCAATGTCAGATAATTTTTCCTCGTTGTTTATAAGTGGTTATTTGATTAAACATTATTGTCTTTGTAAATAAAGTTTGAGAATACATTATAATTTTTAGTAAAAAATTGCTTATTTAGACTTTGAAGAGCAAGTGTGACAACCAATTAAGTCTCCTGAAAAATTGCGGAAGCAACCTATGGTAATTTTTTTTAGAAATAACGACTCAATATTCCAAGTGTGTATAATGTAAAGGTGAATGACATAAGTCATAACTATACATACAAAAATGGTTGTAAATACATGCACCAAGCTATTCTATTTAAATAAAATTTAAATTAATTCCTTGTATGATCACTCAATTTACTCGTATTACTTAGTAAAGTAATACTCCCTTCGTCCCATTTTATGTAGCATTTTTTCAAATTTCAAGATTTAAACTAGTCTATCTTTAATCGTCAGTTTTTCATAAATTTTTTAAATATTTTGAATTATCAATTATTCAGACTTATAGTACTTTTTATGTAGTTTACAAATATATAAATTTCATTTTTTTTTAAAGATTTCGTGTGTAATTTTTCAATCAACTTTAAACTGTTTAACTATCAAAGTCCCACATAAATCGAGACAGAGGAAGTATATGTTTTTCTCATTCCACTTATGCGTGAATTTTAGATGTAGTCGAATAAGTTTAGTAAAGTAATACTTTATGTTTTTTTATTCCACTTATATGCGTGTATTTTAGATGTATTAATATTTAATAGGGATAACACAAGCTTTTAACACTCGGGGTATTTCGTTCGGCGAGAGCTGAAAAAGAACACATACAAATAATGAAGCGGAGAAGTAGACGATTCTCTGTGGCATTTCGTCGAACATTTTATGTACAAGATAAAGAACCACCCTCTGCTCTCCATTGCTATCCCATTAAACCTCGGAATACGCCTCCCAATCTCTTCATCGGCAATGACCGCCGGTACGGTAACGTTTTCTTCGATGAGAATTACAATCTTGTCCCTGAATTTTCTTCTTGGAATCGTCTCTTGCATCATTTCAATTCCTCCGGCCTGGTTGATCAGGTGATTCTCCTTTATTCTGATATGCTCTCTCTTGTGGAGTAACTAGTTAACTTTCCACTTAGGGTGAAAAACAAGTTTCTTGAAAATGAGTAAAATGACTTTCTTGATTTATATAGGGAAATCAAGTTCTACAATGACATTGTTTGTTAATTCTATCTTCCCCACCCATCCAACGGCCCCAATCCCTAATCCTTGATCATTCCACCCCTTTACCAACACTAGAATGAGTAAGAAATCAAACTTATTTTTCAAGAAAACATGTTCTTGTTTTACAATGAAAAATGTTCTCCTTCGTACCAAACACACCCTTTAATGTATTTCTAATCACCCCTAATCAGCAAATCAAATATTTATTTTATCAAAATTCAATGGATATAAAGTTATGCTATGGTTTATTTTATTATTCTGCTTTTTATTCTTAAATCAAAATATGTCTATGCAGAAAACCAGTGATAGAAGTAATGAAAGCTCGTCTTGAACGGGCAAAAATGTTAAGAGAGTATCATGGCACTATTTTCCCATATTCAGAGTTCAAGGTATTTTATTTGGTATAACTTTCAGTTTTTCACTGTTAATTGTTAGAAGATTTTGATGAAACAACAAGAAATAGAAGTAAACAATATTGCTTTATATTGTTATGATAACAACTAAATTTAACAAAAGTAGTAAAATGTATCTGAAGCGGGCACTCGGCTTAGATTCACACTTTCTTGATTTTCCTACAGTCTTCTGTGAGTCCCTAATTGTGGTAGGTAACAGACCATTTGTTGAGTGAATAGCTGCAGGTGCATGACAAATTATATGTACTATCAAATATGTTCAGGAGAGTTACAGAAAGTGGCATGTTGTTTTCATTTATGCACTTATTTTCCTATTTATTTACACCCAAATGCTTACACTGTCTAGTTTTGAATTTAGTCTTTTGTTTTCATTGCACTTATTTACTATTCATCAACCTTTTTTTAGTGTTATGTTACACTGTTAATTTTCAATTCCAATGACCTTTGGTTCTGCAAATGGCTCACCTCCAAATAAGAAGCCAAGAAGATACCCAAGTTAGCAACTACAGTGGTAACGGGCAAAAAAACTGAGCTCGAGCCATGAGAAATTCTTACCAGGGACCTTGGATCAACTAGAAACCCTTTTGGAGACCTTATAGATGAGATGGGTGAAGAAAATAATGAAAAAAGGCCTTTGAATCGTGTTAAAAGCTTTTAAAAAGCTTCTGCCGACTTAAATCTACAGACTGACTGTCGGTCGTCAATAATTCACGGTCGTGGATCTCCTCGTGGATCAATCCGCGTCCCATAAATCCCACCTTACGTTGGGGGTTGTCCAGAACTTGATTTTTCACCCTTTCAAAACTTTTTCACGACCCAATTCACAAGCCGTACTTCAACTCACGACCATACTTTGGCTCGTCAATTGCCTCAACACTGAGCATGGTGTGGTAAAATGGGTATAACTTTTTACTCCAAAGTCAGATGGATGTTGATAGGACTTTCTTTTTACAGGTAACTCAGCCTCTAGATCCCCATATGCTGGAAGATATGCTTGTTAAAAGTCAGTCCATACTCGGAACCACTTGAAATACTCCACCATAGTCCTATTTAACTTCAACTTTTGTTCTAAGGCTTCCTTTGGTCTCTAACTAAGTCTAATTCTTTAAATGACTTATTATAAGGGTTCCTTGTTATACTTACCCATTTTCAACTTTTGTCTTCGGATATTAAACCGACTTGTCGGCGTGTACAACTCGAATTCGTACTAGAAACTACGGGGTGTTACATTGATCTTGCAGAACTGGATATGGCATCCATCTCTCTAGATGAAAGAAATTTTGAAGAGGAGGAAATTCATGCTACCATCAAGACTTGTGCACCTGACAAGGCTCCAGGCCCTGACCGCTTTACAATGGCCTTTTTTCAGAAGGCATGGGAAGTCATTAAATATGAAGTAATCGGGGCCCTAAACCACTTTCCCCATAACTGTCATATGGTCAAGTCCTATAATGCTTCCTTTATTGCCCTCATTTACAAAGAAAGGGGCAATAGAATTAAAAGATTACAGATCAGTCTTGTTGGGAGAGTGTACAAGTTAATAGCAAAGATTCTTGTGGAGAGACTTAAATCTGTAATTGGGAAGCTGGTCTCAGACTACCAAAATGCATTTGTTAAGGGTAGACAAATCTCAGATGTTGTATTGATAGCAAATGAGGTGCTGAATTGGAAGTAGAAATCAGGAGACACAGGGTCGTTGTTTAAACTTGACATAGAGAAAGCTTTTGACAAGCTTAATTGGGCCTATCTGTTCACAATCTTGAAAAGGATGGGATTTGAGAATAGGTGGATCAAATACAGTCTGACAATGGTAAAATATTCTGTGCTCATTAACAGGGGCTGCAGGTTTTTTCTCTCCTCAAAAAGGGCTAAGGCAGGGAGACTCCCTCTCTCCCTTTCTTTTCATCCTTGATATGGAAGACCTTAGTATGATGCTCCAAAAAGCATGTCAACTACAATTGATTTAAGGCTTCAAAGTAGGCAGTCCCACGGGAAACAATGCCACAATTTCACATCTGCTTTATGCGGATGATACTCGCTATTTTGTGGGGCAGATAGATCACAAGTTATTAAGCTAAACTTGACTTTGCCCATTTTTGAAGCTGTCTCTGGACTACACACAAATATGTCAACAAACACTATCTATCCCGTAAACTCAGTGCAGAATTTGGTAGAGCTAGTAGGAATCATGTGCTGCAACATAGGGTCCTATTCAACAACTTATCTTGGGTTGCCTTTAGGTGCAAATTTCAAGGCTAACGAGATATGGTTGGGAATAATTGAGAAGTTTGAATTAATACTAGCAACATGGCAAATGCAGTATCTTTCTTTTGGAGGAAGAGTTACATTGATTAATAGTGTAATGGACAACATCCCTACATTATATGTCCCTTTTCCCTATTCCTGCATCTTGAAAAGCTCGACAAAATGAGAAGGAATTTTCTATGGGAAGGCAACATCAAGGATCATAAGTTTCACTTGGTTAAATGAGCAAAAGTGACGCAACCTAAATCTCAAGAGGGGGTTTGGGTATCAAAGACCTTGCAGCTCACAATAAAAACATGATGATGAAATGGTTATGGAGGTACGGAACTGAAGACTTTGGATTGTGGAAAGAGGTGATCAAAGCTAAACATGGTGAGCTTACTCACTGGTCCACTAAAGTCTCAGCAGATGCATATGGAGTTGGTGTATGGAAAAGGATCAGTAAACTTTGGCCAGATTTTGCTAGGAACGTCACATTTAGAGTTGGCAATGGATCTCACATCAAATTTTGGAAAGACATGATTGGGAGACACAACTTTGGGTGAGGAATTTCCAAGTTTGCACCTCATTGCAGCTGAACCAAATTCTACCATAGCATCCAACAAATCAGACGACATTTGGGACCTAAGGTTCAGGAAAACCTAAATGACTTGGAACTTAATGACATATTTGGTCTCTTTGCCAAGTTGCAGTCTTGCTCCTTTTCGCCCCAAGAGCCTGATAGATTGAAATGGGGTAACTCAAGAAAAGGTTACTACACAACAAAGGAAGGATAACGCAGTTTATGCTCAAGGAACTCAATAATTGACAAATGGCCATGGAAGCATATATGGAAGACAAAATTACCTACCAAAGTGATCTGTTTCAGCTGGACTGCACTGCATAACTCATGCCTCACACAGGATAATCTCTCCAAAAGGAAATTCCAAGTTGCTAACTGATGCTATTTCTGCCACAAGCACACATAAAGTGTCAACCATTTGCTACTGCACTGCCCAGCTGCCCTAGACCTCTGGAATATGTTTTGTTGCTTTTTTGGTCTTTCCTAGGTCATGCCTTTCTCTATTTGGGATGCTCTTGAAAGTTGGAGTTCACGGGAAGTTGACAAATCCATCAAGAGTATGTCGATGGTGATCCCTGGTGCTATCTTTTGGTGTTTATGGACAGAGAGGAACAAAAGATGTTTATATTGGAATTTCAACTTCTAGAAATCTTTTGCGAGGCAGATGTCTAGTTAGCCTTTTTGGTTGGTCCAAATTGACCCCTGTAAATAATTTAGAACTCATCCTGGATTTTGTTAGCTCTATAGCTTAGAAAGAGGTTACAAATCCTTTTTTTTTTTTTTGATTAAGTAAGAAGAATGTCATTAACAAAGCATCAAGCAGATGCACAGATTACAAAAGAAAGAAATATCAGCTCCCAAAAAGGCAAAAAAAAGCTATCTAAACAGCTAACAACAGAGATCTATGGAGTTGATAAATTCCAGGAAAGAATCGGCACTAAGTACAGGAGAGAGATTAACCCAACCAAAAAGAGTAATCAAACATCTTGCTTTAAAGGTAGTGATGGGAGTTGGGGTGCCATCAAAACATTTTTTGTTCCTCTCCGTCCATAAGCACCACAAAATACAGGCTGGAACCAAAGACCAGATCTGCTTGATGGACTTCCCAACTTTCCAAGAACAACAACACACAAAAGCCTCTCTCAATGATCTTGGCATGACCCAAGTGAGTCCAAAAAGTGAGAAGAACATGTTCCATAGGCCTGTTGCAACTGGGCAATGAAGGAACAAGTGATTAATAGATTCTGAGTTGCACAAGCACATGTAGCATCTGTTGACTATTTGGAATTTCCTCCTTATGAGATTATTCTTAGTCAAGCAAGAGTCTTTTAGAGTAATCCTTCTTTTTGTGAGCTTAACTGATCTATCCTTGTAAAGCTTGCATCTTCTTGATGCCTTTGAATGAATCTACTTCATAAAAAAAAAAAAAAACAGACAAGACAACTTGTCCGCAAAACTAATCGTGAAGATATGTTCCATGAAAGTAAGATCTTTAGAGGAGATAACATAGAGGTTCAAGCTTATAAATGCACTAGTAAGCGTGTTGCAAAATTTTCAGGTTATAGTTTTCGTAATTATAGTTGACTAGTGTCATCATAACAATGAACTTGTCCCTCCCTCTTTTCTCATTTCTTAGAATTTGTCAGTAGCCACCTGAGGAACTATTTGATGAGAAGAAACCAAACATCTCATCCCATGCTGTTGGACTAAGGTATACTTGACATATTTCTATATTAGCTCATATATTTGGTTAACATATAAATTATAAACAAGCAGGTGCTTTAGAGAGAGTACTTGACTCAAATTCTTGTTATTTGAGGTTGAAAACACTCCATGTAGCCCAATATTGGTGAATTTCTTGCAACATTAGCATAGTATGCAAACTTATATGTTCTTAAAGATTCAAGAGCAGACTTATACTTGTTAGTTCGAGGGGAGATGTTGATGAACGAATTTCCAAGTTAATTGATTGCCGATGACATTTGAGATTTGAGAATATTGGAATTTGTTGGTACAGTGGAGATCACCAGCTTAAATTAAAGATTTTCCTTTTCGTACTATTTCTCTTTTTTTAGCTTCCCTTAAAAAAAATTATGTTCTTCCAAGTCTACGACAGTCCATAAATATTATGGACCAGAAGTGAATCTAGAATATAAAAGTAATAATACACATAATTCAATATCATGTGAAGGTAATCTAAATATCAATCTAGAACAAATTTTCTTACTAATTTAGAACTATGAATATTCAATCTACTCGGATGCTTAGAATTTAATTTCATTCAAATTTTTTACTAATTTAGAAGTATGAATATTTAATTCACTCATATGCTTAGAATTTAATTTCATTCAAATTTCTTACTAATTTAGAAGTATGAATATTTAATTCACTCATATGTTTAGAATTTAATTTTATTTAAATTTTCTTCCTAATTTAGAAGTAAATAATTCATTTTCATTCCATTTGCTTGAGAGGAATTAAATTCTGAGCATTATAAATAAGATGCTTATGTAGCAGCTTTTGAATATTATTAGGGTTCCCAAGTGGCGCGTTCCTAGAGGCAAATCGAAGGAAGAGCAAAAGAAAGGTTGGGTGCTGGTGCGGCGTGACCATCCGTTCTCGAATAGGTGGGGCCTACGCTCTAGATCCTCCCTGCTTGCAGAAACGTGTGGTCGTTTTTGAAGTTAGCACTCTCTGGTTTTCTCTCTTGTTTCCTTGATTTTTCAATGTAAGAACATTTCTCTTACTTTATTCTCCCAGTTATATGTCTTATGCCTCATTTGTTTCATTAAGATTAAAACATTTGAATCTCAATACACATATGAATATTAAGATGTTCTTTAAGATTTAGAGGTCTGAATCTGAATACTATATAGTTAAGACTGTTTGTTTTCTCAACATCTGAATGTATAAAATTTATCTTTTGTTTAGAAAATAATAAATATAAAATTTAATTAAAAATACTAAATTAATCTAATATTATATCAATAAATATTTTAATTTTTTTATATGACAATTGGTGGTGGTGATGACTAACGATGGTGATTGTGTGTATCAATTTGGGATGACGTTGACTACTGATGGTGGTTGTGGGGGTCGTTTGGTGTGAAGGTTAACACCAATTAGTTCTGGAATTAAATTATAGTGCTACTTAATTTGTTGTTTGGTTGGCAAGTCCGGGATAACTTATTCCAGGATTAATAATTAGTATCGGGATAAGTTATCCCTTTCCTTGGACGATATAGTAATCTCGGGATCAAATAAGTAAATGACAAAAATATACCTTTAAACCTTTTTTATACATTACTTTTCACATTCATAAATGGTATTTTTGTAAACAAATAAATTGTTCTTAAAATTTATTATTTTGAATACAACAAACCAAACCCACAATAAAAAATAATTTTAGCATAAGTTATCCCATCATAACGAATCCTATCATAATTTATTCCATTATAAATAATCCCATCATAACTTGAATTCAAACCAAACGACTTCTTATGGTATAGTGGTTGGCACTAATGATTAATCGTGATTGTTGGTAGTGATGATTGATAATTTGTAGTGGAATGATACTGATAACTAGTGGTAGTGGTGAATGATGATGGTGGTTAGCGATATATATTGTTAACTAATGGTGGTAATTATCGATTGTGATTGGTGGATGTAATTAATAGTAGTTGGTGGTGATGATTGCAAATAATGGTAAAGGTGATGACGATTGGTTTTGGTAATTGACGGTAGTGATAGTTGTGGTTGGGCCGAGGATGGTTGTGGATGGTAGGTGGTAGTGATTGACAGTGGTGATAGTTGTGGCTGAAATGGTGGTTGTGGGTGGTGACTGAAAGTAGATGGAGTAAAATAAGAAAACAAACACACTTAATGATTAAGAGCTGAATGATTAAAATTCATACCCTGAAAACAAACAAACTTAATGATTGAGGTCTTAATGATTAAATGCAAACAAATGAGGCCTTAGATCTTAATAATGGTTTGAATTGCGTTCATTTTCAGATGTCAGCTCATAGTGTAACATTTGCTTTTTCCTTTAATATTACTTCTTTATTCTGATTAGGTCTAATTCATTCAGATCTAATAGGTCTTGAAGTACTATTTCTGTATCTCCTGACCAAATCCACCTACATTAGGATTATTCGTTAATAGTTGATCAAATTTGATAAGATTTGGAAACAAGCTTGTCCAAGAGAACAGTCATATAGATTATTTTGAACTTGTTGTTCACTTAAAAATTCCTGTGAGTATGTCCTTTTACCACCATTTTATCCACTACCGCCATGATCAACTACCTCCCCTGTACAACTATCACTGCAAACCATCACAGCAACAAGGAATGAAACTAGTCACCATCACTAGCCATCATCAGCCACCACTGCAAAACCACCACTACAGCCCCTCACCAACCATGATAATCACCAATCGCCACCTCATAACTTTCACCACTGACAACCACCACTATTTGTTGCCACCACTGCTAGTGTCTTAAGTGTGTTTTATCAAATAAACATTTTTTACCATACCATCTAAATAAAGGTTTTTATTCTTTTGTGGATTCATCTGTAATTGTCATTTTATTACAATTTTACTTGTACCAATTTATAAAAAAGAAAGGGCCTTACACTTTCTTATCTAAGTGATTCTAACAATTTGTTTTATGCTTGTGTTAGGTCCCAAACCGATGATAATTTCACAAGTTATTTTGGGGAGGTTCCACCAATTCTTGACTATTTTGACTGCCAAACCTACCCAAAAAATTCGCAGAAATCGTCTATACTCAGCAGCCACAGGTAGTAGTTATTTGGTTCGTGTAAATAAGTATGTTAACATAATAGGATATCCCTATTCATAAAAGAATACTTGGAAATCTCATGTTTTCATTGCCTGGAGGTTTCAAATCTCTGGACTTTCTGAAAAAACAGAATGAAAGGATCCCTCTGTCAAATGGTTCATTTACTTTATTCAGAGGTTTAAGATATTAAAAGAGAGAGATGATTTATTTGTGTCAAATGGTTCATTTACTTTATTCAGAGGTTTAAGATATTAAAAGAGAGAGATGATTTATTTGTGTCAAATGGTTCATTTACTTTATTCAGAGGTTTAAGATATTAAAAGAGAGAGATGATTTATTTGTGTCAAATGGTTCATTTACTTTATTCAGAGGTTTAAGATATTAAAAGAGAGAGATGATTTATTTGTGTCAAATGGTTCATTTACTTTATTCAGAGGTTTAAGATATTAAAAAAGAGAGATGATTTATTTGTAATTAATTTTTAACAAATCTCTTCATGAGAAATCATATTCTGTCTTTGTTCATATACACGAAAAGGTTGTGCAAATGCATGTTAGTGACATCAAAAAATTCTTCATGAGAAATCATATTCTATTTTAAATATGTCACAATGGGTTGCATTGATTTAACTCATTTACAAGTGTACGATACATTAAAGAGATGTTTTTTCTCATTTCAAATTTTCACATACATTTAGAGTCATTCTGAATGTGGATGTTATCAGCTGCAATTATAATTCCTTTTTAGTTACGCTACATCTTATGGTCTATTCATATCCTTTGTACTCTGTTTATATCTCTTGGAAAATGTAACCTCCACAGGCAATTCAATGAACACTATCAATCACATCATCACAATAATCAATTGCCAACAGATCAGTTTGTGATGAATCGACCTGATGTGTCTCCAATCTCGAGGTAAAATTAATAGTATTTTTTTTTACCTAGAGCATATTCGCGGTAGACATTTTGTTAATCAACTTGAACAATATATGTGGATTCTTTCCTCTACTTTTTTGATTACTAATGGATTATCCTTCACTTTTTACGGCAATATTTTTTTTACAATCCACTAAATGCTAGTTTTAAACATACCTAGGCATGTGTTTGTTGATGCAAGTACCAACGGCTTAAATTACGTGGTATGTTTCTATAACCTCTTTCTTTCTTTCTTTCTTTCTTTCTTTTATCACGTGTTTATTTTATTTTTGAAATCTTTCTTGTGATAGCTGAATACTTGTATTTCAGCCTTACCATGCATATAATTTTTAATTTTTTTTTGGTATAGAAATATAATGCCAACTCGAATTGGCTTTAGCAGGTTACGCCGCTAATAATTCAAGGGAATGGTCTCTAATTATCAAATTCTCTCTTTTATTGAGTTGTTAATGTAAATATAAACTTCTTTTTAATACTCCATATCAACTAGCCCGTCTTATAATAATGCAGATTGACTATTCACGTTGTATAGTGCCAAGGCTGCATCAATCATCTTATCATTCAGGAGTATATCTCATCCCTAATTTATTTTCAGTAATTTAACCAGTCTAGTTTTAAAATTAAAATTTTTCAATAAATGTGTATATGTAACCATTTAAAAGTAGGTGTGCTATGTTTCTAAATGTTCATCTTTTATGGAATGAATGCAGAGAGAAGTTGTTGAGCAAGAACATAGACAGAGCAGGATAGATTATCCTCAACCTCAGGTGATCAGGTAGCATTCCTCATTTTGGATTAGAAAGGCTTTTTTTTTAAAAAAAAAGAAAAATTCCATAAACTGATAACAACTTTATTCGAATATCCGAAGACAATCCTAATGTATTATGTATGTAGTTTTTATTTTCTTTTTCATTTTCTCTAAAAGTAATTTCAACATACAACTTTCCTCCATTTTTTTTGTCAAAACCAAATCCAAAGCCTTTAAAACACCTGTTATACTAATTATGTGATGACCTGTAAAATTACCACAAAATTAAAATCATGAACTTATGTGACTTGAAATGCAGGCCTGCTCCATATACGCTATATGATCCAAGATATGCTGACATTGGTCTACCGGTGGATCCTTATTTACGTGCAATGAAGCTGAATCCACACTTTTGTAAGTTATTTTATTTTTTAAAATACCTTTGTATTCTTAGAATTATAAATCAAAAGAAGAACAAAAAGGAACTAGCACTGTGTAATATCAACTGCTCTGTATCTGTATCCCTTGTACTGCAGCAATGCAAAAAGCGACAAGTGAGGAAAGTTCAACCACTAAAAGAAAACGGGTATGGTCTCTAATTATGACATTTTCTCTTTTCTTGAGTTATTAATGTAAACTCAAACTTCTTTTTGATACTCTGTATTGAATAGCTCATCGTCTAATAATGCAAATAAATGCAGACTGACTATGCATGTAACAGAGTGCCGAGGCTGCATCAATCATCTTCTCATTCTGGAGTATGTATCATCCCTAATTTATTTTCAATAGTTTAACCAATCTATTTTTAAAAAATTAAAATTTTCAATAAATGTCTATATGTAACGATTTAAAAAATAGTTAAGTGCTATGTTCCTAATTTTCCATCTTTTATGAAATGAATGCAGAGAGAAGTTGTTGAGCCAGAACATAGACAGAGCAGGATAGATTATCCTCAGGCGATCAGGTAACATTCCACATTTTGGTTTACAAAAGCCTTTAAAATATATATTTCCATAAATTTAAAACACCTTTATTCGGATATACGAAGACAATCCTAAAGTGTATGTACGTTTTTTCTTTTCATTTTCTCTTAGATTAATTTCAACATACAACTTTCCTCCAATTTTTTTGCCAAAACCAAATCCAAAGCCTACATTAACTTTATCTGTTGTTATACTAATTATGTGACTTGAAATGCAGTCCTCCATTTGAGCCATACGATCCAAGGTATGCTGCCATGGGTCTACCCATGGATCCTTACTTGCGTGCATTCAAGCTGAACCCCAACTTAGGGTAAGTTATTTTTGTTTTTAATAACTTCGTATTAGAATTATAATAAAAAAGAACAAAAAGGAACTAGCCTTGTGACTGTCAACTGATTTATATCTGTATCCCTCGTATTGCAGCCTTGCCAAGCCCAACGAGTGATGAAAAAGAGTTAGATCACCAGGGAATTCAATGGCTAGTAGCAGAGGTGGAAAATACTAGTTTACTATGGAACATTCTTATTTGTCTTTTATTTTTTTTCTCGTCTTTAGTTATGGATCTTCCTTTTATCTTTTACCCCTTTCAATTCCATAAACAGAAAAAAAACGTCTGAACGTTTTCATGGAAGTTTAGGTTTTGCGGTTTTGCTGTCAAATTCAAGCTATGAGTAGACTACATTTCTTTATTCAATTCTTAAGTTTAATGCAAAACCATGTTTCTTATTCAACATTGTTGTTATGATTTACTTTATACTTGATGTCCTTTAGGAATGTGAACATTCACAATATTTGTCCTTTGTTAGTAGTTTGGTTCATTCATGATCCTACCGTTACTTAGTTGGGCCAAATATCCCCCTCATACAGGTCTGTGGCTGGCATAATTAGGCATTTGGAGTAAAGTCATCTTTCGTGTTTATTTCTCTCAATTATTTATGAAATGTTTCATTGTTAAAAAAAATAAAAAATCTCTTTCTAGTTCTTCGTATGTATATGTTATTGAAACAATTGGTATGTTTGTTGTGTTATTGAAATAATGGCATTTGGTGGCTTCATGGAATGTAAAAACATGTTGTGGTTGAAAACAGTTGATGATTTTTTTTGTGGGGAACTTACATAAATATACTATAATAAAAAAAATATTTACCATTTATAGCAATAACATTTTTTTTTTCACTCGATCACTTTTAATATATTAATAATACAGTTTTAATATATATTACAAAGAGCAATTTATTTTTCACATATAATACAAATTTTATTGATGGTTAATATATTTATCACACATTTTAATACACTTATAATACAATGTGTTAACTTCTTACCAAACAAGTATAGTATATTTTAAAAACAATTATAACACATATATATTGCATACTTAACTCACTTTTAATACATATTGCATATTTAGTATAGTATTGCTATAAACGGTAATAAATAAAAAGTATCACTAAAATTAATAATTATTCATGAAAAGACACCCATCCAAGTAATTTTTTCTTTTTTTTGTTATGAGATTTTAGTTATGTAAAGGATTGTATAAGAATTTAATTTCTTCTTCCATATGAATTATTTACAATGTAACCCTACAATTGGTGATATGAAAATTATAGGATTTGGCTTCCCCTCCATTTCGTCAAGTACACATATAGATGAGAGCATGTGTACTATTTAATTGTTAAAGGTCAAGATTATGTTCCAAAACTTATTCACTTAACTATGGTTATGATACTAGTTAATGCAATATAATCTTGACCTTTATCAATTAAATAGTACATATGTCTCTCATCTAGATGTGTACTTGACGAAATGAAGGGAAAGGGTAATGGAGGGGAACCAAATCCAAAATTATATGGGCTGACTATCCAAGCGATTAATGAAGTGAACTGAAAATCATGAAGTCTAAGATTAGTCGACGTGCATGCAATAATGCAAATTGGTCTGGACACCATGATTATAATAGTAGATAAGCAAATGAAAATATTTGTTTTCCAGTTCATTGTCTCAAAGACCCTATGTTGGCCCATATGGAGAAGACCCAAAAGAAAACCCAGTCCAATTTCTTGAATATTCCTTTTTATCATGTTTCTCCACGTTATCTTACCCACAAGAACATACTTATATCTAGAGCTTTTGATTTAAATTGCATAAAATAATATTTGTAAGTTGCTATAAAATACATTTTATGTAATTTCTTAAATTGGTGAATTTTTTGCTTACAATTTAATTAAAATATAGCATAATAACGGCTAAGAATTAAATTGGATCAACTGTCCTTTCCATTAGTCTTCTAATTATACTCTGTCAATTTTATGTGAAATAAAAGAATATTTAGCCCAGTTAAGTAACAATAAAGATATGATTAGGTCAAACTATTAACGGAGAACAAATATTATAAATTAGTTTCATATTCTTGAACAACGTTTTGCACCCTTTTCCCATTAACCATCCCAAATATCCCTTTATTGAGAGGGCTTGACTTAAAAATCTTTTGGAACTCATTTAAGATTGAGGCTAAATGAGGCTTATTAGCTTAGCCCGTGTAGTTTATAGATGTAGATCCAACTTGTTAAAAGACAACCTACTCACAAGCGGATTCAAATGTGTTGGTGTTAGATCAACTTGCAACCCGTTTCGATTAACTATTTGAAGGCCCATCAAAATCGTGAGCCAGCTCACCCTCTCTCGTCAAACTTCAAAGCTCATGTCATGTGTTGGATTGGCCTATATTGACAGCGACAAATAACTTCATCTAATTAAACACAAAATGTTACTACTAGCTATAGTAAAATACATTTAATTAAAATTTGCTGGATATAGTTGTACAATTTTTTGTTTTTACATCTGAATTGGACACTACGGATAAAGATGGGTTATTTCCAGAAATAATCGTAAGGATTGAAAAAGACATAATATTCCCCAACTGCCAACTTGCATGTGATTGAAAATAAGTTGACAGACTTCTTTGTATTTTTTTAATTAACCACTTGCACGATGCGTTTTTATTTATTTATTTGAAAACCTTCTTGGAAATGTACTCTTTGAGTGCATGTGAGGATTAGGATTTTATGTTTATAAGTTTTGAATTTTAAAAAATTAGCTCAGTGAATTCTTGACAAATATATATTTATACATGTTTAGTGATTTTTTAAATACGAATATAAAATATGAACCAATTTTTTTGAATTCTATTGAATTCGTAGACAAATTAAAATTCTAGCTCCGCCAATGATTATTGTTAGTTCTAACTTCTAAACATAACTGTGATATGTATCAAATGCTTTCTTTTTTTCTTTTTTATTTATATATTTTATATATATAACAGGAAATTTGGTGTAGTCTCATCTTTTCAATTAAAGAAAGACTGTCCAAATTTCATTCCCCTACAAGTCATGTGCTTAATATTATAACAAATGGGACATACAAATTATGTTGATAATAACTATACTAGTCTAGAAGACATGCATATTAATTAATGAACTTGTCTTTTTTTTTTTGAGGTCTTCGATTCATTATTCACACACCAAGGCCTACGTATGAGGCTCATTCATAAATATATAAGAGGTCATTTTTGCAGAGTTTCCAATTAATTACCCCTTTCTCCAATCTATGCAATAGGCAACTATAGGCTCATTAGAGCTTACAATACGTGAATTGTACAGTTAATGATGGAGATCAATTACTAGGGCCATTAATGTACGTGACTTTGAATTTGGTCTGAGTTGATATCTATTTTCTTCAATTTTAGATATGTCTAATAGCCTAAGTAGATACTTAAATTTGTATAAATTAAAGTTGAACCAGTAGAGACGTGAGTCCTATGTGACAATTTGAGTGAAATACACTCAAACATTAAATATGTTTAAGTGTCTTAGCTTATTGTATCTCATCACTTGAATTGTCACGCGCACGTGATTTACATATTCAACTTTACACAAATTTAAATATCTATTCGTACATACTCAAAATTAAACAACATAACAATATCTAAAATTAAGTTAAATGGCACGCATATAGTGATTTGGGATTTGTCTTTTTTCTAGGTCAAATTTGACGGGGCAAGATGTGTCAAAATTTGTCTTCACTAGTATTTGATTTTCACAGTGTTTTAATTAATTGTATTTTTCTCGGGTGGGGCTCATTGTAATATTATTCAAATAATATGAGATATGGTATCTATCCTCCAACACATAAAATTAGCTTAGAGATATTTCAATTGCAAGTTTCCTATTTTTTCCCTCATAGATGTGTGTATATATATAAATAAGTAAAATGGAATATAATATAAACAAAAGAACTATTTTATGGTTTTGTCAAGGGGTGTGCAGTTATATATTTCGATTTTGATAAATAGGCATATATGTTTAAGTTCAATTTGTATATATGAGTTGATGAGTAAGATAATGCTAAGGTTTTGAGTTATTAATGTTAAATATTATAATAACAGGAAAATTAGGCATACTATCTTTCAATGATGACATAATCAAACATATCATATTCACGAGACAAAATGATACATGGATTGAAAAAAAAATGAAGAAAACAAAAATGTGTTGGCAATTGAACCAAACAGAAATAAAAAACATTTTGATGGTTTAGCATATGATGTGTTTGATATTGACAAAAAATTTTTTTTGTAATTTTTTATGTTTTGAGATAAAAAATCTCTAGGAATTAATTTATAAAATGACTTTTCTAGTAGCACGACTAGCAAGATAAAATAATTTTCATAATAGTATTTCAAGTTTATTATCTTCTTCCCAACCTCGACACATCCATCCATCACGCCTTGACCACACCAGTCCCTACCACCCTCGACATCCCACTACAACAAAAATAATTTTTAGCGGCAAAAAATATAGACATTAATAAATAGTGCTAAAGTCTTTACCGGCATTAGTTAAGTGTCATTAAAACCAGTGTCGCTAAAGGCTTGAGTGACATACACAAAGAGTGTTAATTGCTGCTAAAAGTACATATTTAGTTACAATTAAGTTATTATCGTTAATTAATTGCCGCTAATAATCATTTTTGATGTGATGCTCCTTCCCTAATTCAGAAATCTTTTTCTAAATTACATATAAACGTTCAAGAGAAAAAAAGTACAAAAAGTATTATATATTTTTGTTCATACCAAAACACCCTCATCTATAGGGTTCTAGTGTATTTTTTTTTTTATCCGGTATCCATTCTTCTCTCTCTTTAAATTAATGAAATACCTATATATCTCAAAGTTTGATGGTTATATTTCTAGATTTGGAAGTGTTGTAGGAGTAACAAGGATAATGAAATTGGAGAGAGAAAATGGTCTAAAACCCCCCCAACCTATACCCGAAATCCCAACTACACACTCCAACTTCACGGGTGTCCTATTACCCCCCTGAACTTCATATTTCTCTATTTTCTACACACTTAAACGCTCAACTTTTGTCATTACCAGATATACACATATGCGTGTATACACGCGCTAGGTGGGCCCACTTTCTTCAATTTTATTTTCCTATTTATTTCAGATGTAGTAGACCCCACTTTTTTTTAACTTATTCTTTTAATTAGGTTAAAATTCTCAATTTCAAACATAACCAACAACATGTCTACTCTTCAATTGAATATCAACCTTTCTTCTTCTTCTACATTATTCTTAGCAAGTAATGCAAGTCACAGTGACCCAAGAATTGTTCTTTTCAAGATTACTTGCTCCGCCACCCAAATAATTTTAACAATGTCATTT